ACTGATGATCGTTCGTTGATGGGTCAAAACTTTCTTGCACTCGTGCATTCCTGCAGCAGCACGCTCACCAGCTAGGCCGGGGCTATGAACAGGCCAGGAGATAGACGGGACCTCTGCTCGTAGGGTAACAGTCAGTACACGGTTGGTTGCCGCCATTTTAATGATTTTGAACATTGCCGCAAAAATGATCCCAGAAAGGCTCGCGAGACTAGATGACCAACAGGAACTTGGTAACCAAATTGTTGCAGAAGTTCTCCCCGTTTTTTACTTCATGCGAGGGAATATATTTTATAAAACTGAGAGATTAAGACGGAATCCACTAGAAGTCCGAGTAACAAGTGGACAAAAACCTAGTACCAAGATTATTTATATCGTACTGCAAACTTCTGTACGACTGTTTTAAATATCTTCTCAAAAATCATTCCTAGCAACATCAAACGTCGAAAACGAATGGTAAACTTCATATGAAACACGAAAGTACTGGTGAAATGAAACTGATGATGAAATTTTGCCTGTGTTACATTTATTTTCTCTCGTTCCCATGGGAAATTGTTTTCGGTGTTATTTCAGGCAATTATTTATGTATATGAGCTTATATGGCCTTAAGAAAATGTAAAAATGACTGTAAAATACTTAAAACTNAGAAATAAGCTTATTTTTAATACGAGGCAGTCCCAAATGGGTAAACCAGTGAAGTGTACTTCACTAAAATAATTTCCTCGTCATTTTCCAGCATTTTCACATGCACGATTTGCGTACCTCAATTACTGCTTCACGCTTATAATCCTGGGGGCCACTGATGATCGTTCGTTGACGGGTCATAAAACTTTCTTGCACTCATGCATTACTGCAGCAGCACGCTCACCAGACCGGGGCTATGAACAGGCTAGGAGATCGACGGGACCTCTGCTCGCAGGGTAACAGGCAGTACACGGTTGGTTGCCGCCATTTTAATGATTTTGAACATTGCCGCAAAAATGATCCCAGAAAGGTTCGCGAGACTAGATGACCAACAGGAACTTGGTAACCAAATTGCTGCAGGCCAGGAGTTCTCCCTGTTTTTTACTTCATGCGAGGGAATCCACTAGAAGTCCGAGTAACAAGTGGACAAAAACCTGGTACCAAGGTTATTTACATCGTATTGCAAACTTCTGTACGACTGTTTTAAATATCTTCTCAAAAAATCATTCCTAGCAACATCAAACGTCGAAAACGAATGGTAAACTTGCTAGAGTACACGCATAGTTTAATACTGAGCGGAATATGCAAACATTTTTCAGACCAAAATGTTGAAATTCAGACCAAACTGGCTTCAAAACTACAGGTATACCCTCAACGATAAATCCAGTCTAACGAAATGTTCACAAAAAATAATTTTAAAACAGCTTAAAACGGCATTCAATAGAATCTGCTGAATCTACTATCGTGGACAGGCCATCCAGACTTGCTTGAGTCGCTGGCAAGCCGGCGGTTGTCGGCGATAGTCGGCGATGAAAATATTTTATGTGAACATCATCTAAATCCATCTGCGGACGCAACGACGATTCGATCCATATTTACAGGTGGAATGGTTGAAAATTGCGGCTATTCGATTTACATTTCGCGCAAATTTGAGTACATGTACGTCGGCGATCCATCGCAGACGCGCCGGGACCCACTGGAACCGGTCGCCGAACATTTTCAGTTGCAACCGGCGACTAGGCTTTATATGGGCTATATAGTTATATGCGGAACCAAAGGGTATATGGTTTTTCAGCCCTTTTTGGTCGTAAATGGGGTATCAAATATGGATTACGCACGGATATTGCCACGACACCAACTCGCGCGTTACACGCGCGAGATGAGTGAACGCTCCCAGCATTCTTTGCAAGAACAGTTCATCCATGTTGTTGAACCCCGAAAATTGAACGAGGCCGAAAAAAGGCAGGAGAAAGGTTAATTCGTTCTTATTCACTGTGTGTTTAGTACCTTTCTTTGTAGTGCTTTCATGCTTTGTTCGTGTGGAGGACTTTCTCCTTATCAGTGTACCTGTTTTATATTCAGGAAAGAACTGCGCTTGGAGCTGGAAAACATATTTGATGGCAAGCGAAACTCGGATTGTAGGTAAGCTTTTGGGACAAACAAAATATATTTGATTTATTTACATTGTTAAAGTACCTATGAAGTAAAAAATAATTGCTGCTTATTTGAAAGGCTTTTCAAAGTAAAGAAGAATGGCGTTTCCCTTTTTGGAATATCATTTTTCGTTCTAGAGATAT